AAAGAAAGCACTAACCTGGAACTTTTGGTTCTGCGGCAATTGTTCACGCGCAAGTACTGTCGCTTCTGCAGGCGCACTATACATCTACCAGAAAATCTAGTCGACTGTACTTGTCTTCGCGACGTATCCTCTCTGGCTTTTATAAAATAAGCAAGTTGAAAATAAAGTTTTGGGTTGGTAAGAAGATATCCACACTTTCACAAATGTTGTTTTCAACGTAAAGTGCGCATCGTTCCTGCTCTTTAGGGTAGTGACATAGCTGGCTATAATCCGGATCAGGTCCAGGTGTGATTTTATGGGCACTATATGTGATGTACACAATATAGTTCAGACGATGGTGTCTTGATCTATTAGGTGAGCACATAAACAATGCGAATTTGTACATAACTTGTGACTTTCTCAATATGACACATTCATTCTAAGGCATTATAAAGACTATGATGTAGTCTACAAATGCAGCCATTTTTGCCGCATTTGCTCATCGCACTCGGGGGTTACGGTAGGCTTACGGATATGGGGAAAATTTTCAGATTGCTTCAGATTTTACTGAAACATTGTTTAGGGGGTTATTCGACATGCCGAATACAAAACAATCATTATTCTGCATGAAAACGCCTCCTTCGTAAGGTTAAGATATGACCTTTCTTTACTTTGCAACAAATCAGCATATTTTTGTTCACCATGTCTAATTATTTTTCTGTGCGAATTTTCGGGAAATGTTAAGGTCTCGTAAGTTAGATATCGACAGCCCCAAATCGGACGCATTCGACTTGACTTGTTTAACTTCTTCAGTGCAAATCTTGATTTGTCATCAATTCCAATTCTCTCTATTCAATTTATTGGGCCAACCTCTGCCTACAACTCCGTCCCAACTGGTTTGATTTATATGTGCACGGCTTCATTTTTTCTCAAAAGTAAAACCTCGATTTTGGAAGGCCTTTGACAAACGATCAGATTTTTCCATTAACTAATCAAAAATCAAACGGTTTTGAGTACTCTGTAGCTTGCATCATATTCTAACTACGCACAAAATGATTGGCGTTATGTTCAAGAAGAGAAAAGTTAAAGAAAAACTGTTATATGTGCCAACCTAATACAAGCTTCCGTGGATGTGTTCATGAATTGCTGTACGAGAATGCTCCTTATTTAAGTTCGACTCTGTTGTCCATTTCTTCTTGGCATACTTTGAAATGAACCAGCTACCATTTGTTCTTTCTCAGAATCTCATACAGTGCATGATCATGACCCTTAAGACGAAGTATGCTTGATGTCTATGAAGTAACTGTATATAAGGAAATAAATTTCGAAATGCGCCTCTCCGCTAAGTCATAGAAGAAAAGGATGCGGGATGTAGCGTCCGTTTTTAACCTTTTGCAAAGTAATAAGCATACGAAAGTGGCAGATAGAGGTGGAGGATGGGGAAGCTAAACCCAAGCACCTTCATTCGGAAAAGTTTTTTCGCGGTTTCCCCCGGTCGCAGGATTTTCGAGTAGAGTAGCAGTAAAGCAAATATTTGTGAACCACAATTGCATATTTTGGCAATTTTTGCAAAAGTATAAAAATAGGTGAACACCGATAATGAAACTTGTTCCCTGCGCGACGCAGCTTCTCGGCTCTGTCTGTCCTTCGCTAGATTTCAATCACGGCGTGATCTCTGAGAAGCGCTGAGCTTTTACAGCTATTGAAGCGGAAGAAGGTTATATACATAGGTTGAAATGGCCTGGCTCGTTTTGTTTTTTCTCGAAGGCTGCTTCATACTGATCCGTATGTTCCTAAACAGTTTTAGCACAGCGCGTCGAACGTTTTGCTGGAAGTGTACCGAAACTTACGGATCAGTATGAACCCCGCCGAAGAAGAAACGCACCTGTTGCGACTACTTTTGCCTCAAGAAAAACGGTGCGGCGACTTGTTGAAGGCGGAAGGTGGTGTTTTTATGTTTCGAGAGGAAGGACGGCGCTCTTTGCTTCTATCTTGCGAAACTGGTTCACTGATGTTTCTCGACCGTTCGCTAGTCCATCTTGCAAGCGCCCAATAGTAAGGAGAAGGTCACGCCCAAGAGGCGTAGTAGTCGAAAAGGGGATTATCCATGTTGGAATATTCTGATCTGTGCCAGAACATTCCCACAGTCGCCGAGTGGAACATTAAGATAGCAAGCAATAACCGAATGAAAATGCAATTGTAGATGTTGGTGTTCGTGCCCAATTTTTTGTAGGTGCGCATTCTGTCGCTGCCCATATCCTTCGGTCCTCAATTGCATCGCGGTCTGAACGGAGGTCTGCCCTGTCCTGCCGAAAGGGAGCACAGCAACTCGTTGTATGATTTCCCACAGGCGGCGCAGCTCCTCCACAGTCGTCCTCGTGCCTTCTTCAGGCATTCTTCAGGGCTAAGCCTTCAGCGAAGTTTGAGGGGCATGACAACGACAGGGGACAGGTGGTTAGAATTGTTGGAAAAGAAAATTTTACAATAACTGCATTCAACATGGCACGGTGATACGTTGCTTCCCGAAACGCTCCTAGTGTGCGCTATTCTTGGAGCAAAGTTGACAGATGTATTTGGCCAATGCACCGAATGTATCGGAGTTTCTCAGGGTTTTCAATGTGGCCTGAGGCGGAATAGTCCCGAAACGCTCCTAGTGTGCGCTATTCTTGAAGCAAAGTTGACAGATTTACTGACTAGGAGCGTTTCGGGAAGCAACGTATCACCTGCCATGTTGAATGTAGTCACTAGGAGCGTTTGAAGTCTACAAAGAACGCGAAAGCATTTGGCTTCATTGAGCGGACGACGTGCAAACGTTGCTGCTATGGTAGAATGCTGATGATAATAAGCGTGGCGAAGTAATATTACATACATCTGAGCCAAGGAGATACTCAAACAACAGCAGGTCATGCTCCATGCTGTGGTGTGACTAGATCTTGCGATCCCTCTCAGGAGGAGGAGAATGCCCATTATATTGGCACAAACGGCTATAGGCAAAAACTTTAACTGTCACGCAGAAATTTCTCTAAAGCGAGAAAGAGACAGAGGTATTGAATTTCCTTGCTGATCCTATGCCTGATTTGGACAACTTGGGCAACATTGCTTGGGCCAAAGCCAAAAAAGGTTATGCAGTTGGAAAGCTTGGTAAACAGAACAGTGTGCTGGTTGATTCCTTTAGCGCTTCCAAGATTGGTACACGTATTTATTCCACAATGCAAAGAATGCGTTCTGGCAAACTCGCCTTATTTAGAGGCCCGTAGTAAACCCCCCATCAGGGCATCTCTCTCGACGCGGACCGGCGTTGATCTCATCACGCCTCAGTCTAGCATCCGGCGAGCCATTGATCTGGATGCGGATCGCTTCCGGGACATTACAATCAAGTGCGTTCTTGAATAAAGAACCACTTGGTTTGGTTTGGTCAAACGGGTAATCGATTGGAATTACAAGCGCGCGACCGTGGTTCGAGTCCGACTAGCGACACACATTTTGATGCATCGCTGGGAAATCTTTGATAGCGGACACTACGCAATCGATGATGACCGCTATCAAGGATTTCGCCTAGCAAATGCACGGATAAAACAAAAACACAATTTGTGACGAAAATTTTATAAAAAAAACGAAGTGATTGCAGCGTGAATTTAATGAAATGAATAAATGAGTTATTGTATTGGACAGCTAGTGAAAAAAAAACAGTAAAGTTTACAAAAAAGAGAAGAATTTGTTTTTTTGTTATCCTCGCCAAAATCAGCTGTTCATCGATCCTCTCCTTTTCGAGCGCGGATTGTGCAGTTTTGCGCCGATTTTGTCTGCATTTTTAGCCTGACTGATGTGCATCGTAAGTTACTCAGGAGCTACTTACGGGAGTCTTGTCTGCGTCTCCTCTTTTACACACTATTTGCATCACTCTAACATCAGTTCACGTTCAGGTCACTTGAACGTGAACTGATATGGAAGAGTTGACTGCAGCAGGTGGACAGATGGTCAACTATCAGTTCACTCGCCATTCTTATAGCATGGGAGGGTGGGCGGTCATCAGTTCAACTGACGTGAGGTGAACTGATGGGATAAGTTCGGTTTACCTGAATTGATCGAGCTTTACTACGGGCCAGAGTTTGAAAGTCAAAGACACTTAAGTGAACCATTCAATCAAACACCACGTCGACTTCAGAAAAGAGCCTAACCCTCCAGGGTAGCAACAGTATTAACCAAAACGCAAGATTAAGCCAGTGTTCACCTTAGCAGATAATAAATTTCGGTGGGTAAAGATCACTTTTGTCAAAAACTGTCCTGCATTACTTTTCTACTTAACTAGTGACCCGGTCCTGACCTGATCTCATTTCAAAAAGCCACAGGCTTATGGTGACACCTCGTTAATAATGGCTAGGCTCGTCCTCCCGGTTGATTTTACGATTTTGGGCGGCTATCCAAAACTCTTCGGGTGTCTTGCGCGCTAAGATTTGAATCTGCACTCCCACCAACTTGTCGTCATGGTTAATCCAAAGTCAGTACGGGTCACTAGATATATAAAAGTGATGCAATACAGTTTTTGACATAAGTGGTCTGCACCACCAAAATCTATTATCTGCTAAGGTGAACACTGGCTTAATCTTGCGTTTTGGTTGCTACCGTTGCTATTCTAGAGGGTTCGGCTCTTTTCTGTACTAGAAAAGTTGTTTGATTGGATACTTACGTGTCTTCGACTTTTCAGACACGGAAGAAGGCGAGTTTGTCGAAACGTCAGTCTGTATATTTTAGAGTAATATCGATCTTAGACACTGCTAAAGAAATCAACCTGAAGATTCGACTATGCCATTAGTGGATAGTCGAACTTGGATTCTGAAGAGCAGTGTGCTTACAAGATAAGTGGACTGCTTACGAACGACCTCTAACCACTCTCCATATGTAATGCACATGATGTTGATGCGATTATCGCCATCGGTCTCAATCGCAAATTTTAATCACTTCAATCGATCAGCCGGTGAGAACGAAGGCTTTCAGCAGCTTAATCTTCCTGACCCATCTAGGTTCTTGTTATCAAAAGTCCGCCGCAAACAACGCCAGGCACGGCAAAAGGAGCAGCCCCGAGTGGAGTGAAGGTGATGTTGAGAAAGAAGCGAATAATCACAACAACTCCTAGTAGACCTGTGTAAGTCCGATCACATCTCTATTCATACGAAAACGAACGATACGGGCAAACTCAGACCCTCGTTATCAATACCGACTAGCATGGAACCAACCTCACCCTATGTTTTCAACTTCAACATTCTCTACGACAAAACTGGAAGAGCATTTGAAGTATGTTTATCGTACACTGAGAATTAACACATTCTAACGATCGAGCTTTCAGCTCATCGATCTCATTCAAAAAGAAGAACCACCGATAGCTTCACGTTCAAAACAGATTGACTGGCTACTGCAACAGATACAAACTCGCCTGGAAAAGGCAAGGAATTTGCAACATCTGTATCTTGCTTTGTCGCAAATAATTCTATATCGTAGATGACTGACCATAATTATATCGTGTATGGTTCCGTCGATGGTAAGATATGGAGTGTGAAAGGTCTGGAGAACCTACAGCAGAATGTTGAGGAGACACATTTGGAAATGCGATTGAGTGTGGAGTCTATGGGCCTGAGGATATTGGCCTACAAGGTAAAATTTTTGCCTTCACTGGGAACAAGGGAAAATTTTCTGCCCACAAAATTTTCCCTGCTTCCCACTGCATGCGGGATGCACGAAGGAGGCAATGGGGGGGGGAGGAAGGGAAGAGGTCGCGAAATGTTTGAAAACTTTCAAAATGAGATATGCGACAAAAGACTACCACTTGTAAATTCGAGAAGAGTGTCTGTATGAGATCAGGTTTGAAAATAATATCCTTCCTCCGCTCCTTTTTAATCCTCATTCCATCTCATTCACTTTTCATGAAGTAATTGGATTGGTAAAGGGTTTCAGACCACGCTGGAACCCTCCTGCACCTGCCGCACCCGCGACGCACCTCCGTTTTTTACAATTAATTTTCTCAACTCGGAAATCAGGAGATTCTGTAGCATATGAAAGGCCAGATTTGTGGTGCAACTCATAGATGGACATAACGAAATTAGTGTTTGTCTAAAATTTCTGAATGATGGCGTCTTTGTAGTTCATTGAGAGCCACCTAAAAAAATTTTGGTGAGAACCCATTTTACAGATTCAAGCAATATCAGCGGAGCAAGCGATGCTGATGTCGATACGGGGTAGAACGTCAGACATGTGAGTAAATAGTAAATTGTTTTGTCTTTCCTCCACTCTCGGCTATTCAGGAGACCCGAACCGACACAGGCTACTCCGGGACGTTGGCTTATGCGAGGGACTCCGGATAACATTTCTCACCATGTAACACCTATTCCTCAGTCTCACCAAAAAAGTAGTGAGGTACGCACAGTAAGAAGTCACTGGTCTACCTCTTCCTGCTTAATTTTCTATAATATTTTTCTTTTAGCTACTAGATCAAGAAAGGAGACAAGCCGCACAAATTCGGCAGGCAATGCAGTCTCCTGCTCCCCCGTCAATATCCCATGTGAAAACTCTTAGCACGGACAGGGTACCTCCCAAAAAGAATGTCTGATTTTGAACCAGTTCAAGTATATATTAAGAAATCCCTGACGAAACATTCGCTCATGGGGATACCGAAGCGTGCAGTGTCTCATGGCGCAAAAAGTGGCGGAAAGGTAATCTGTCATATATGATTAGTCCACAAATGTGTAAAAACGGAGTAGATTGTTTCCAGCCACAGACCAGAAGCAGGGAGTCGAAAGAACTGTATGTTAATCTCTTGTGCGATTGTTCATCAAAAACTGTGAAAAAAAACATATTTTTGTAATCTCTGTAACTCATAGACCAAAAATTCAAAAAAACTCAAGAAAATAAATTAGAATTAAAAATCAAACTATAAGTACATAATTTTACAATTATATCATGACTTTAGCTGCGTACGACTTATGTTGTGTATTACATTTTGAACGAATTTTGTCATTCTCTAAGAGGATACATATTAGGTCGTCCCGAAAGTTTTGTCGGTTTTTTCAGACCACTATAAAACCGCGCTCAATGAAGATCTGAATGAGCTTCAGAATGTTTTCGATACATCTTTTCCTTCTCTTTCTTGCGGTTGCATTTTCGAACCAGAATCCTGTACGCTTTCTTTTATAATTGCTGAAATTCTTCACCCGTCATTTTTGTCTGCTCAAAGTTCAGCAAATTTTTGGAAATTTCATTTCGAAGTTTCGGAAAGGGTTAAGTAAGGAATAAATAGAGCAATTCGCGGACTACAAGACGATTTTTTTGGATTCCACTAGTCTGCTGATTTTCGCTTCAAAAAGTTATTTCTTCGGAGGTCTCGATTTTTGGCAAAGTCATAAAACACGCAACTGCAGCAAAAACATAAAAACTTCTGAAGTTTCTGCAAATTGCAACATGATTCTTATTGAACACTAATTGTGCAACATTATCCAGTTTGACTCGCTTTGAAAAAGCAGCTTTTTGGAATTTTCGGTACTTTTACGTGGCAAACGTAGTCAAAAAGCCACGGTTTTCATTAAATAAATAATTATAACGGGTTTGGTAAACGTAACCCACGTAATCTAAAATGAGTACATTGTAGCCAAAGCTTTGCTCTATATAACAGTCATCAGCGTTCCTTAGAAGTGTCAGGAGAGAAATTTTAAAAATTCATAAAGTTTTGGCGTTACTGTTGAGCTGCTCTAAAAGCCATGGCGGTAACATTGCAAGGACAGGGTGAGTCAGAGAACAAATATAGCTGTAAGAAAGAGGATGAAAATCTAAACCAAATGGTACCTAGAACGTTCATGGAATGGTGTTCTGTGAGTTTTAGTGAGCGATGGAAAAAACCGACAAAACTTTCGGGACAACCTAATATATTGACGGAAACACGCAAGTACCACTAATTTTTAGGGTGCGGGAATTTATCTACTCAGAAAGGCATGTCGCCATGTAATTAGCAGGGGACATGAGAGGTCATGAACTGTCGGCAACGTTAATTTGCAGCCTGCACCGAAGACAAGCAGATTTTGCTCACGACAGATACGACATCATCCTATAGTGTACGAAACCGGGATTTGATTGAAATTTGAATTTAAAGTTCAGTAGTGAAATTAGCCCAACTAGGGTAAAAATTTGTATTTAGCGGTAATCTGCCATGCTGGCTCCAAACATGATGGTGGTTTTGCGTGAAAATGAAATCGAGCTTCGTAATGGGATCAAAATAAATGTTCAGTGGCGATATTTGGCAAATCAGAATAAAATCTTGGATTTGGGGTGATGATTCAGTATGCTCTTTGAGGAAACTAATTGTAGTGTCCAGGATAATCTGATAACACACAGATTTCAATGATAGCTGGGAATCTTTTCCAAGCCTCCAAACTTAGCTTCAGCCTCATTGAATTATTTCTTACCTTATTTCAGTATTTATTTCGCAGTTTATATCATTTTTTATAGTCTTTCTAAAAGTAGCATCCTTTTCCATTTGTTTTCCAGGTTTATCAAATGGCAGCGAAATTTATGAAAAAGTCAAAATTTTAGAAGTAAATTTTCGAAGTTTCCGGAAAAAACTTGGGCATATTTGAAAGCAACATGGACCCTTAATGACAATTTTAAGCTTTTTGTCAGATTTTGACGGGGTGCGGGAACTTACCTACCCGAAAGACTTGCCACAGCGTTCCTTAGGTATCATGAGCAGTCAGTACGCAATAAGCATAGTGTACAGAGCCTAGTCTATGTGTATTCCAAGCTCCGCCCCCATCCATCGACTCTTCGCCATGCATCCATCAATCATGAAACCGAGAATTCAGTAGAATCGCAAAATTGATGTTCAGCAACTATCTGCTCGATTTTGATTAAAAATACGGATTTAGGGGTTTTCTGAGGCGCTTTTTTAAATTATGCTATTGGTTTTGCGCTGCCTTTCTTTACAGGAGCCGAAATTTTGCTTTGGTGAATTGACTTTTAGCTTAAGAAATCTCGACAAAAAACAAAGCACCCTTAATACACATGTAAAACTGCTTTTTCACTATTCCTCTCGGAACGTTAGAAGAATAATTTGTCTTACCCTTCTGATTAAAACCATCTTTTTTCTTTCCATCAGCTCCATTTTGGACCTCGCAACCCTCTCTTAGCACATTCTGGCGCTGAGCCAGCCTCGAAGTCCTCAGGTATTGCCAGGTTTTCTGGCACGTCTTGGTTCTATGCCAAAAAGGTGCAATGTGTGGGCGGGGCTTAGCTTAGCACTGTATCCTGAGGAGCATCTGGAATCAGCGAGCTCGCTATGCCTAATTATACCCCGCAGACACACACCCATGAAGTGCGAGAATATCTCGGGTAGGTAAGTTCCGTTTCCCATTTTGACGACAAGATTAAAATTCAAAAAGAAACAATTGCGAGTGTTCACGGAAAACCACCATCGTATTTGGAACCAGCATGGGAGATTACCCCTAAATACAAATTTTTACTCTAGTTGGACTAATCTCACCACTGAACTTTGGGTTCAAGTTTCAATAAAATCCAGATTCCGTACAGCAGCTGTAGGATGATGCCGTACTGTCGTAAGCAAAATCTACTTATCGGTGCAAATTGGGTGCAAATTAGCGTTGCTGACAGTTCATGACCTCTCATGTCACCTGCTAATTACATGGCGGCATGCCTCTTCGGGTAGATAAATTCCGTTCCCCTAATTTTTACAGTGGGAAAAATAGGTCATTAACCAAAATTGAAACAAAGAATGGTTCATTTTAGGACTTTTAGCAAATTTAAGCAAGCAGAATTCACAAAAATTTTAACATAGGCCTTCTCTACTTAACAACTTTAGGTTGTATAAAGCTAAGGCGCGTGTAGAAACACCAAAGAAAAAAGCAGCAATCCAGAGCAAGGTAAACGTCTAATTTGGTCACGAATAGACCTGAGTTGAAGTTTAGGAAGGGGCAAATGTACGTCAAACCTCCACTTTACCGCTTGCCACAGCGAGGTTGAATGTAGTTGACACCGGTACTACAAAACCCGTCTCAAAAGCGGAGGAGGTCAAGGTGATCCCTACATCAGTAAGAGCTTTCTTCGATACTATACTCTTCAAAATTTCAGCTATCAGACACGATGAATACGCAATCCGCGATCAAGAAACCAAATGAAAAAAATAAAAATTCGAAAGAAGGAACATCTGGTCCTATTACTGGTGTTAGAGTTTAGATTGTTCGGGTTTAATTAAAGTTTGAGTTGGGTTTCCACCTCCCCTTCTGACAAATCAACGATATATTCGTGTGTTAGTTATACTTCCCTAGCACAACCTTGGATACCGTCAATTCACCATAATGCCTCGAACGTAGTCCACGCGATTTCGTTGCCTCGCGATTCTCCCGACAAGACGACTGCTACAAGTCACTGCATGCCGAGGCCCCTGCATTTCGTCTGTGGTCACGATTAGTCGTGTCGGAAAACTATCACAACCGAAATGCAAGATCATCAGCATGCAATGAAATAGTAACAGTTGTCTTGTTGAGATAATCGCGAGGCAACGAAATCGCGTGAACTATGCCCGAGACCTAAGATTGATGGATGGATTCTGCAGCGAGAAGAGGATATGAAAGAATCATATCTTTACTCGCATCTCACATCTCGAAAATTGATCAATACGGCCATGTGCAGACATACTTTGGCCTTATGACAGAATTGATATTAGCAACTTGTAACAAGAATTTCGTGCTTAAAAAAAGATTTTGATTTTTTCTACGACTGCACGATTGCCGTAATCTACCAACTGACATATGGTCTTGAAAAAGACATGATGAAAAAGGGAGTGAATCGCTCTTAACTATGGAGTTTCTTGAGCATCCCTTCGATCGTTTCCATGTGAAATAATGTCATGTCAACGCCAAGTGCTTCATATTCAGAGACTAATGTTTCAATCAAAGTCCATCCGTTAAATGTCAAAATGTCCAACAACATCGAGCTAAAAAATGGACGGAATCTTTATGACATCTCTTGAGCAATCATTCCCTTCATTTCGGTCAGGATAGTCGTTGCTGCTCCTCCTTTTTTGATAGATGACAGCATTTCAGCCTTTTTTGTTGCTCATAGCAACCTTGCGATCAGTTCTTCAAAACCTATAGGCATCACATCAAATCTTTCATCAAATGTCAAAATTTCATGACAGAACAATATTCAGCTGAGAACCAAGTCTGTAGTTTCACTGCGCTGATTAATCACCGGCTTAGGTATCCATAGGCATGGGTGTAATATGCTCACCTTATTGTAATTTAATTTTGCAAAAAACTCCATATGCAGAGATTCACGCGACATTTATGGGCCTTTACGTACCTTGTACAGCCGAGTACAGTAAATGCGCAAAGTTTGACGTCAGCAGGATAAGGCAGTTTTTTTCAGAGATTTGGAGCCATGCAACAGCGTCAAACCTTTTTTGCAATTTTTACATCCCTAAAATGTACCTGCAGTCGTTAACATTTGAGCGTGGTTTAACGATCTCCCTAGCGCAACTTCTGTTTTCATTCCGGTAGGTTCAATCAAGAAAGCTTGATAGACTGCCGTAAAAATGAATTACAAACCAGTCCAACTTTATTCGCAAGAGATCACATTATATGTGGCGTAAACGAGAATGATTTGTGACGAATTGAAAATGAACATAATTCTGCGAAAGAGTAGTATGATTATGGTTGGCACTTAATGTTGTCCAAAGCCATCGTTCAAGTAGAAGTTCGGTTTCATCGAGTCATAACTCAATTTCCTGCAATAAATTTCTAATTAGCATCTAAGAATATATTCTGTCTGAGCTAGTATTTATTAGCTGAACTCAAGATGCCCTGAACGATGTGACGGCTGCAAGAAATATTAGGTTTTCTAGTAATTTGGCTTTTTCTTTGAACAGGCTCCACACTCCGAGGAACAAAGATTCATAGAAGATCTTAGTGGAATTCGATGCAGTTTTTCATGCTCTTTCAAATTTTTGTTTTTATTTTGCAGGTCAACTACTGAGCTCTCAGAAAATTACCGAACAACCCATAGTTTTTTGCAGGTACGTTTCGCTATCTTTCAAATTTTTGTACCGATCCCCGAAGAAGTTCGAGTAACGAAAAAATCGATCGCCCCTTCAAGATACAAAACAAGTTCTTCCCCTTCCAAAGCTTGCTTTCGCTTTCGAAAATTTTCAAAATAATTTTTGATGCTATCAAATTCCATATGTGTTCAACTTAAACCTCGTAAAACATCAACCGGAGAGCAATTCAAGCGTTATTCTCAACATTTTCTCCTCTTTCGAAAAGATGTTTTTGCTATTGATTCGTAGAATAGGGGATAAAACTGCTAACATTCATCTTTTTGAAGCCCCATGCTGTACCCGGAAAATCCAAGATTTGAGATCCCAAATCCCCGAAAGCTCATCTGTTCTGCAATACTGCTGAACCATAACCCACTTTTGAAAGTAACAATAATCGAAAATTCACCGTTGTTCTAGAGTGTACTCTGATATAGGTCTGTTAAAATTCGATAGTGCTGAACAGTTCTGTCAAAAAATTAAGGCAAGCTAGGTGAGAATATCAAAACCGTTTTTTCATCTTATAGGGTTTACTCCATGTATTTGTCATTTGCGAAACTTGACCTCAATAAATACCATGGGTCGTGTTTTTAGATTTTTTTAGAGCTCAATTACTAACCTGCAGTATAGATAGCCAAGCATCGAATGTTACCAAAATCTTCAATAGGCCTTTGTTTGGTATGCGGCGCGTGGTTAAATGAATTGAAATTACTTTCAACACCACCTAATACATTTTGGAACAAAAAGAGTAGCTCAAAGGAGATCGAAAAATCGACATAAAAATGATATGGCTCCGTAAGTATTGGGGGTTCGCAAAGAGAATTGTTGTAGTGTATTAGCAAAATAATTCAAAAAAATTAAGCAAGATCTAGGAAGTTCTAAGGTCATATTTGCATTTTGAACAACATCAAGTTTCAAAAATTCAAAAGCAATTTCTAGACCCTTTTCAATCCTTGTGATTCTTTTAAAGACGCATACTAGACTGGAGATCAAGTTATGTATGAGTAGAAAGATTGTTTTAGTCGTTCCGCAAGAGCGAACTTACTTGAAAAGTCCGTAAAACTGATTTCGTTTCTGAACCTCACGAAAAGGTGGATCCTCTGAGTCGAATCCCTCAGCTATGTTACGCTGAAAGCACATTATTTCCTTTGGAATACCGTACTTAACAAGGTGTGAAATACCGTACTCGAACTATCGTAGCGCTTTCAACGATGTAGACGACAATGGCAAGGATAAGGAGGGCCAAGTGGAGTGACCTGGATTGCATCTGCCTATAAAGTATACTATAGCACTGGTGGAAATGTTCATGCCAAAGCAAACGAGGAATTTGACCAAAAATGCAGAATATCGGGTGCTATATTAATCTAGTCAAGATGTCAAGCCATTCAAAGACAATATTACTGCGCCTAATTATGACTCCGAATAGGATTACAAAAAGCACATGAAATAAGATGCTCAAAATATCACTGTTATTTTTTAAAGCACAATTTGCGTGTTACATTTTCTGAAAAAAGAGATTAGCATGCATCGAGACCATTACGTACATAGCGCAGAATTATCGAAGTATCTCGCAAACCTTGCTCAGTGCAGCAAATGGAGCTTGTTCATGCCAGTATTGCTAAATCTAGTATATAGGGCTTATCAAATGCAGTGTCGCTTGCATCAGCATCCCCACTCCCGTGCTGAACTCTGCATCTCTTCCGCGCACATGCTCTCTTACTACTTTCCCAGGGGAGCATGGGAAAGGCGGAGCCTCAATCGATTGGAAGTGATTAGAGAGCATGTTCCCGGAAGAGACGCAGAGTCCAACACGGGACTGGAGATGCTGATGCAAGCGACACTGCGTTTGATAAGCCCTATATACGTATCTGTCTTATAACACTCACTCAACAACAAAAGCAGAATTATATGTAATTTATAGGGCAAATTCTAGTGGGTAAGAATTTTGAGTAATGGCACAGATATAACAGAAAAATGTTGTAGAAACAAGTCAACTGCTTTACTGAATTTGCGATTTTACTGATATCCGGTAAGCTACGGTCACTACCTAACAAGTAAATCACGACTAACGCACACTTCAAGAGCACAGCTGTTGCTGTGGTCTTATCATAGTTGATCAGAAATAGATGGGGCTATTCCAATATCTTAGCCCCAAAATTTCAAGATAGTAGATTTCTCAAGTCGGTATAAAGTATTCAACAAACTGTCCACAAGTAACACGGTCTTTTTGCTCAAAAGGGCATCTTGTGATGGGTAGTCGACAGTTGCTCAAAGTTAGAGCCAAATCTGAGAGTCTGAAATTTTGGGGCCCGATACTGATTAGGCCAAGACATATTCACTTGAGACAAAGATGCTCAGTTGTCAATTCTCTCACGTAAATGTTTTCTAAGTTGGAGACTAACAAGGAAAGGAAGGTTTGTCGAAGTGGCCTTTTGAAATGGGATGTATACTGTCTTGTAGAGCTTGGAACGCTGATTCCAAATCTACCTCTGATATCTGCTGCGGGCTTCTGGGCGACGAGTTATGAAGGTTTTTGTGATCAAAAAACTGAATGCAAGAATAGGCTAAAATCAGTCGTAATTTTATAGGGCTTGATTGGTAGTCGGGTCACTCGGTGTAATAAATATTCTTGTTTCAAGTATACCACTTCGCTGCTACCTTATTTGAACATTGGGAAAAGGTTACGATTGATTTTACCCTATTTTTGCATTCAGATTTTTACTCACAAAAACCTTCATAACTCGTCGCCCAGAAGGCCGCAGCAGATAGCAAAGGTAGATTTGGAATCAGCGTTCCAAGTTCTACAAGGCAGTATAACCTCATTTCAAAAGGCCACTTCGACCAACCTTCCTTCTCTCGTAAGACAACACCTTGCCCAAAAAGATTTGCAGATCCTACGCCTTGCCTTAGGACGAAGTGTTGTAGTAGGCTTTACCAATGTTATAAGGGCCATAATAGTAAGCGTCAGTAGCAGGCGGAAGCGGCTGTGATGCACATATGAGTATGCACTTCCAAGTAAACAGCATCAATTCGTAACGAGCCTGGCAGCAAACCTGGTTACCAATGCAAAGTGGAGGCGGGGGCCTGAGCATGATTTTGAATATGAGTGTGGTATCAATCAAGCCATCTATTTTACGAGCTCTTTGCTGAAAAGTAACTTAGACTTCGAATGAGAGGAAATGCGTGCCTATGTTGCAACTGATATTCACATATTTTAGAAGAAGTGATAATAAGTTTTTTCACAGGTTTGCACCTTCGCAGTCTTCAAAATTTTTATGGATATGTTTTGGCTTCATGATGTGTTCTCGGAAGCCTCTAAAAATCCTCATTGCAAAAACATAGTATGAAAGAAGGAGTCAGATTTACAGAAAGAACGTCATTGTGGAGTACATGTAGTGGATTTGATTTTTATAGATTCCAAGAAAAAAGGAGAATGAATGTACACAGTGCTAGCAAGCAGAAATGTTGACGCTAGCCGAGAAATCTAGTTAACTAGATAAATAAGATTGAAGCTCACAGAATCTGCAAAACGATTTTGTTTTCACCAAAAAATTGGATTGTTTACGAATAAAGTGCGCCTTCTTCTTAAGCATTGCTTTCGTTGAGTCGCTGAAAAAAGTATAAGCATAGACATAATGCAGAAGCATGGATAAATAATTAAACAGCATTACGATGATTTTATAATCAGCTGTTGACAAACTGGAAAGAGGGAAAAACAGAAAAGAATGAAAAATTTTGAAAATTTTCGCGGCAAGAATAGGTAAATTTGCTACAACCAAATTAACATATTTACATTAACTAGTTTAGTGTTATTACAATATAAAACTACCGAGCTAAGAAGCAGCATGAAAAAATAGAAAGGCTTTATAAGGGTCCCAAAATACTTCGTATTGTTGACAAGCGAAGTAAGCAATAATAAGTTGAGTAGATGATTGCGCCCACATGTTGCGCACAAAGCCGGAAATGGCTTTTGACGTTCGATGAAGCCTTACGAAATCTATAGCCAGGATCAAAACATTCGGCTGGATTTAGCATTTTTTATGAGTGGGCGAAAGAGTGGGGGGGGGTGCTACTTGCTGAAAGAAGAGTCCATCTAATCCAAGGCTCTTGTATCTCTTATATTTCTTATTCCTTCTTACTCACAGAGAAGAGCTTGCCTCAAAAATATATGCGAAAGATTCCGTTGGTACCTATGAATTTGATACCACGTATAGGTCATTTGAAAAATCGTGACGATGGCGCGACCGCGCGCGACACGCACGCACCTCCCGGCAGCAGCAATTTCTTGGTTTCCATCTTTACTCGAATTTACTCAAATGATTTTTCTGCTTACAAATGACAGTATTTAGACATTGGAAGGGGCTGAGCTGAGAGCTGAAGTGATGTCTTTTTATATGAGTGTTTTCTGCTCCTGTTGGCGCAAAGACCGCAGTCACATCCGTCGTCACGATTTTATAAACGACCTATACACCTCTATGGCATAAAAAATGTTTTTTCGGAAAAAAATAGGTTCAGGACATCCTTGGCCTCATGGCTGATACCGTATGGACTATATTTGCACGGATTTGAGACAAAAATTTCGACGAGAAGGGGGAGAGGTAGTTAGTGGAGCTAAAATGGAGGTGGGACATTTGTACAATACTTTGATGTGCTTGAAGATAAAGCCTGCAAAATGCGTAGGGATTTTTCGAGGAGGAACACTTGTTTGTGGTGATAATTTTTCTTCTTATTATATAAGGTCATGTCCGACTATAAATAAATTTTGACGTTTCAATGTCAAAATTTTTGACCCTGGAACCTTACGGTTAGATTAAAATTCTCACATCTCAATTTGATCGCTAATATTTCACAAGTCATGTATTTATAGCTCAGAATACAGACTAACGTCCCTTCCGGCAAAATCGGCTCTTTCAGAGTCTGCGTTCAGAGTTTGTATTCTGCGCTATGAAATTCTGTACCAATCTTGGACTACGTTCAAACCACTAACGAGAAGATTACAACTATGCCACGATTTATGGATAATCGAACATGGATGGTCATGGATTTAGTTTTTGCAAGCTACCGCTGCAAGTAGCTCTGGTACATAACTGATAATCTGAAGATATTTGATGCGATAAAAAAAGCGTAACAAACGTCAGCACTAATTGAACTTTAAAATACTTGAGATGTTATTTCAAGACTTGAAAAAACATTTCATCATGTAGACGTCATGGAATAAAATAGAGATGGTTGGAATATAAGAAATACCTGCGATAATACCTATTGTCGTAATGCTGAAGAATCACATTACTATATATGGAGACAATCACGTGTGGGCGAAAATTGTTTGAAGAGGTACATTCCTATGTAATTAAACCGTTGTTGTTCGATCACTCAAGACATACACTACTATTACGGGAGGATGAGCTACGGTTTCGGATTTTTCGTTACAATTTCTTAGCTCCTTTTCCTCTTAAATGAAATACTGAGAGTGTAGATGTCCCGCATCAGTAGTTCAATCAAAGGACCGCGTGGGGAACAGACTAGATAAAAATCTATAAAAAGTGACATCAAAGGCTCAGACTTGGCTTTGCAACGTGAAAACAAATGAGACAAGCAGACTGCAGCTTAACTCCTTACAGACTCGCGTCAAGGAAAGTTTATTAGCTGGACTCACTCATAAATGTTTCATGTCAAACTTTCGCTACGAGACGTCATTAAAAAAGAATTACCCTAATTTCCGGGGTATAAGGCGCAGTAGCTTTCACCGCGCGCGGACTGATGTGCGATGACGTTCGCGATGCGCGGCGCCACACAAGCTGCCAACAGCAAATCTCTGCCTTTTCTTTTATCAAGAATGACAAGAATGAAACAAAAACAGCACCTTCAAAATATCAGTAGTATCATTGTAAAGAAAGACCGTTTCAGTACCATTAGCATTATTGGAAACAAAAGAAAGAATTATCTAGACGTCATAAACACCACTGAGAACATCTTCCTCCCACCTATAGAAACGATTTCAAAGTAAAAGTTCTAAGAGGAGTAAAAAAAAGTACCTGAAGGCATGATTTATAAGAAGTGAAGAATAATTACAGCACACTGAGTCTTCAGCTTTCTAAATTCAGAGAGCAATCATTTAGAAAGCTTTTTCGCGTCATTGTTCGCTGCGGTGGGTGCGCCTTATACAAGGTGCGCCTTATACCCCGGAAATTAGGGTATTGCTGGCAAATTTATTAGAGTTGCCAAAAGTAATTACCATGCGCATAGTACGGAAGTAGTTGTAACAACAAGGGT